ACTAACTTACCACTGTATAAAGATACCTGGATGCAAATTATTTCTAACAAAATTGGAACCTGTTCACATGGCTAAACTCTGTTTGCCCTAATAGATAATTCAATGAAAGCTGTGGACCAAAATTTTGGGTAAAGCAGTTTTCATGGCAGTTTTGATTGTAAAAACTTTTTTTCATTTTTTCTTCAGTTTCAAACAAGTTTCCAGTGTTTCCATTTCAGTTAGACCATAAGTAGTAAGTGTTATTTCAGCACCAGCATATTTAAAGCCAGCAGAGAATAAAATAGAGGAAGACATAGAGCTTTGGAAGACTCTGCTTAACTCTGTAGTAGCAGGTTAACCATCTGAGCTCTAAATTTTCCTTACTGTGCACAAAACCAGTACTGACCATTGTACTCAGGCATCTCTGGTGTCTTATTGAGGCCAAGTGGGCATCCCTGGCATCCTGTCTCACGTAGTCTCCCATAGGTACCTTAACATCATAATGGTGATTTCTGCCAATCCCCAAAAAGTGGTCCCTTAACCTCAAAGCCTCTGAATCATCCTCCTTTTAGTAGAGCAGCCAAGGCCTCCTTGCCTTTAGGTCCTCAGGGAGGAGGAAGAGGAGGAGGGGGAGGAGGAGGAGGAGACGAAGAAAGGCATTTTCAAGAAGGGAGAATTTCAAGTTCCTTCAGTTCACGAAAATTGGCATGTAAGAGGTTTTCACAGGCATAAGAGAACAAACACTAAGGAATAAACAGAGAAATAGAGAAGAACACACACACATAAAAGACTTGCTGGTAGGTCATTTCCTGGTTCTGTAGTCTACACTGTCAGCCCTTCAATTCCTCTCTCACCTTTCTAAGGGCAGTTTTCTTTAAATCAATATGATAATAAATTTTGTCATGCTTTTAGCTCACCCTCACATAGTCAAAGCTTAGTTGTTATTATTAATTACTATTATTATTTGAGACAGAGTCTCACTCTGTTGCCCAGGCTTAAGTGCAGTGGCACGATCTCAGCTCACTGCAACCTCCTCCCAGGTTCAAGGCATTCTCGTGCCTCAGCCTTCTGAGTAGCTGGGACTACAAGAATGTGCCATGACACCCAGCTAACTTTTGTTTGTTTGTTTTAAATATTCTTAGTAGAGATGGGGTTTCACCATGTTAATTAGGCTGGTCTCAAACTCCTGACCACAGGCTATCTGCCTGCCTCGGCCTCCCAAAGTACTGGGATTACAGGCGTGAGCCACCATGCCTGGCGAGCCACCATTCCCAGTCTCTTTAGATCAGTAGAATAATAAATTTTGTCATGCTTTCAGCTCACCCTCACGTAGTCACAGCTTGGTTTAGTCTTTACGTAAACAAGACCCTAAAAACTTAAAGATGGTGTGTTCCTCTGCTTGCTTTCTGACAATGCCCTACTCTGTAACGGAATAGCTTCTAATAAATTTGCTTCTTTCACCATGCTCTGTGACTTGCCTTGAATTCCTTCCTATGCAAGATCCAAGAACCCTCTTTTGAGGTCTGGATCAAGACCCTTTTCTGGCAGCACTTTCATTTGCCTGCTCTTTGTCCTGCTCATCCTAGGCATATGGTCAGCCTCCCCACCACCTGGGGGTCCTTTAGGGGACTCACTGAGCTAGCCTGCCTCACTTGCCAATGGGTGAGCAGCCAGAGGGGAAGCTTTGCTCAGTCATTCCTGGGCCTAGAGGACCCATTCCCTGTGCATCAGGGATCAGCCTCCAGTTTGAGGTTGGGGGCATGAGTGGGGCCAACCTGCAGCAGTGGCATCCAACTTCAGGGGTGCCACTGTTCTGTCACTCCAGCCTGGGTGACAGAGTGAGACATCATCTCTAACAAAGTTAAAAAAAATGAAAAAGAAAAATTTGGAAGAAAATTCCACCAAGTTCCAAAAACCACAACTTAGATTTGCCATGTGTGCTGAGTACTGTCAAATCCACAAGAATGATGTGATGTGTAGGCACTGCACTGGGTAATGTAAGTAATCTAGAGATGATTTAAAGTATGCACAAGCATGTGCATAGGTTATATGCAGATACTGTGCCATTTTACATGAGTCTTCAGCATCCACAAAATTTGATATCCTGGGGTCCTGAAACCAATCCCCCAGGAATACTGAGGGAGGCTTTACGAGCATATACATATACATACTTTCTACAGGTATGAAGAAACTTTAGTAGGACACTTTAGATAAGCTACAGTGGTTACCTATGTTTTTGGGGTAAACTTTTGATGGATGGTGCACAAGTGGTGTGAGGAAGGATTTTGACTACCACTTATTTTCAAATTTTTGAAATTATCTAGTTTATGATTTTTTTATTTTTGCCACTTACCCCCAAGTTCTAAGTAGTATATTAACTCTCCAACACTTAAATAAGGCATTAGTTTTAAGGAGGAAGGTCACAGGAGCGCCCTCCTACGTCTCCTCGCCGTCCCAGCCCTGTCCTCGTGTCTCACGGGGCACTCGGCCAGGAGCGGCTGAACTTCCTCATCCCGCGCATCGCGGAGCGCACGCGCAAGCAAGCCACGGCGCATGCGCTGCGGAATTTGCCCTCAGTCCGAGCGTGGAGACGTTCAGTCAGGCCAGGGCATCAGGCATGCGAGGTGAGTTTGCGGGGCCCAGGGCAGGAGAGCGGCCGCTGTGCGGGCAGCCCAGCCAGGGGCCTGGGCGGGACCGGGTCACGGTGTCCCTGAGGGCGCGAGAGACATCCAGCGCGTGGCAGCGCGGGGCTTCGTGAGGGGGACTATGTGTTGGGCCCTGTTGGGTGCTTGTGGTGGAAAAGCCACCCCAGAGGCGAGGGCTGCGTCTGACTACCTGAAAATCGCTGCCCCTGCAGGGAGGAACCCAGGACGGCCCTGTGCAGTTGGCGGGCCTGGAGCCCACCCCAAGGCCGGAGGCTGAGGCCTGAGAATCACTTGAGCCCAGGAGGCAGGGGTTGCAGTGGACCAAGATCCCGCCACTGCACTGCAGCCTGGGCGACTGAGGAAGACTCTGCC